CAGACGCTTAACGACTGAGCCACCCAGGCGCCCCTAGATGAAGTATTTTTAATAAACTGTCTAAGAGAATATCTCTAACACTTTATTTTATGAAATGCTTTGGCAAAAGAGTTTTATTCCCGTGTTAGTTGTCTCTGTTTAATAATAATAATAAAAATACTTATCCTGGAGAAGTGCCCAGTCAGGATTCATTGCTTTCCTGGGGAAAATTGTGAGAGACTAAATTGGCATGGAACTGCTCATAAAGGAAACCTAAGCCTTCTACGTTCGTGGAGCAGACACTTCATACATACAGAAAACAATTACAGAACATTTATGAACGCAACATGATGGCTATTTCCAGCATCCCCATTTTGGGCTTTCGATGCAGGAGTATTGATGGTGTTTTATAGTTGCTGGAACTGTAGCATCGATAGTGTCTGCTGTCTGTCGAGTCACATGCTAGACATCTGAAAGCACAGACCGAAGGAAGGAAAAGGGGGTAGCCCTTAGCAAGCGCACAGTCTAGGAAGGAGGCGTCAGCCATAAGCAGTCAGGATTGCCACAGCAGAGACGCGTGCAAAGCTCTAACGGGGAAGGCTAGTACATTTTAGTTATTTAGATTGCAGCCGTGACCCCAGATCAACCAGGTAAAAAATGAAAGTATCAGTCCATTCACTTTATCTTTCATGTAAACAGTGTCAGTCCCTGACGTCACTAATTTTTCCGCTCAACTGATGTTTTCACCGCACTGAATAATGCCACTGCATCAGGAGACAGACCTGGGAGCTCACGTCTCACCCCGCAGCCTCGAGAGGCTTAGACAGAGGCTGGTCGTGAACGATCTCGTGTCCTCGGCCGGTGGCGGCGGCGGCACAGGGCCCTTGCCCCTTTCCCCGTGCCATCCTCCCCGGATGGAAGTTCGGGTTGCTTTGCCCCCTGCTCATGCTAGCCTCGTCTGTGTTAACCTCCGTCTCCCCAGAGCTTTCACTAACTGTGTTATCCCTTCTGTTCTCTTCTGCTCTCTTCCCTTTCTATTCAACAGTGTTTCCTTCCACAGAGTCCACTCATGTTTAAAGATCAGATGCAACAGGATGTGATCATGGTGCTGAAGTTCCCATCAAATTCTCCAGTGACCCACGTGGCAGCCAACACGCTGCCCCACCTGACCATCCCTGCAGTGGTGACCGTGACCTGCAGCCGGCTCTTTGCAGTGAATCGATGGCACAACACAGTAGGTATGTGTGTCCAAGCACGTCCCTTACTCGAGGGGTCTTAGGAGGTGCGGGCAAGTGAAGGTAAGTGCGCTGGGGGCTAGCTGGTATGCCAGATTATCCACGGGCAGCAGCAGAGCACATCGGTGCCAGACCTGACGAGAGGAGTCTTGTCTGTCTTATCCACTGTCGCTCTGCGTTGGGGCCTCACAGAACGCTTGCCTGATGGTTAAGTGTTCGATGAATATTCGGTAAATTGAAGCAGGTCTACAACTAATTCAGGTCCTCCCACCCTACCCTATGCCTGCCCCACAGGAAAAAAGAAAAACCACTTTTACCCCATATTAAACAAAAGTGAGTTTGAATCTGGTTTCAAATCCTCTTTCTTCCACTTCACTAATTTAGTTAGCAAATATTTGAATGGCCACTCTGTGTCAAATAGCCATGAGCACAGCAATGAACAAGACAGACACCGTCTCCCTCCTTGAGCTGAGAGTCTTTGAGAAAAGACAAAATCTAAATTGTTCGGTGATTTCATGTGTGTTTTCTTTAAACTCGTTCCCAAGAGTTCCAGCTGGTACATCTTGAAGTGATAGGATTCTATTATCAAAATTAGACATATTGATACTTACCTAACCGGGACAGAAGTCAATGTGACCAAATGATTTAAATGGCCAAATTCATCCCTTACGATATCCTCGGAAACCCCAGGACTCTCACTGTCTCCAGGACTAAATGGATAAGCCATGGTAAATTAATCTGAATTTTTCTATTCTATTGACTTCTGTATTGCTCTGAAAAACAGTATCAGGTATATCATAGCTTATTCTTCTAAGAATTTCTAAATGCACTTATTTTATGTTTATTGGTGATATATCAACATGAGGTATAACTAATTCCATTTGATCAGAAAGATGCAATAGACATCTTTAAAAAATATATAACTTTATTATTCACAGAAGTCTGAGCCTCTAGAAATATTTTGCATTGAGGAAAAAAACTGTAAAGGATTAATTTTTTCTTTAGCATTGTTCAAAAGTATTATATATGTTATGTAATCACATGTAAAAAAATTATGACTAATAACTCAATCAAGCCCTAAATATTAATCCTCTGGTAGTAGCTTTCCCTGAGCATAAGGTCTTAGGTGTGGCTCCATTTTTTACCTTCAGTTGACTTGCCATCTATTGACGGAAAATGGAAGCCCCATCTTCCCCTCTGCCCTGGCCCAGGTGAGCCCTGCCATGCTCACGCCCACCCCCGCTTGCAGACACAGCTTCATAGATTTCAAGCTCATTGGTTGCCCGGGATCTTAGCTCTCTGATGGGCTCAAGAAATGTTGTGATCTTGTGTTATATGCGGCTTCTTCTTGTTGTTAGGATGAGGACACTCTTTCCAGCTTCCTACATCTGACATAGAAGCCAGCGTCCCTGTTGTGATGGTTTCTTTTGAGAGTATCTACAAAGATGTGTAGTATGGCCATCATTCTTACAACAATTTGCCAAATAATTTTTAAGCAATACACCTTTTCTACAATCATCATAAAACACTGCTTATTAGGAAGTTCCTTTTCTGAGACTTTTGTGGTAGTTTTCTCCTTCTGTTTAAACTTTAGGCCTCAGAGGAGCTCCAGGATACTCTTTGGATCAAGCTCATCATCTTCCCATTGAAATGGACCCCCTAATTGGTACGTTAACAGCAAAAATACATTTTCATGAATGCTGACTGTCCACAGATTCCTATGTAGTTACTTATTACAAAAGGTAGTCGAATGATAATTTTTCTGCCATAAAATTAGTGTGCAAATAACATTGAATTACCATCAAGGAGCTGTGTAGATCATAATATGCCATCTAAGAACTTTTTGGTATTTAAGCAATTATTTATGGCATTTTCTTGATTTTTTTTTTTTAGGAGGTCATTTAAGTTGGCTCTAAACAAGGCAAATCGTTCCAAACTGTCCTTTCCTTCAGCCTAAACTATTTTTTAACAACTATATATTATTTAAAATATTTAAAATATGTGAAGATTCAAAAAAATCATTAAAGAGAACTAACATAAAAGGCATCTTTTCTAGAAATCTCCTTTCAATAGGGCCAATTTTTTTTTAATTTAAGATTTCATATGAATTGCAAACTTATGAGCTATAACTCTTTACAAAAGATAACGGAAATATTTTTAAATCATATACACATTTATTAGCAGATGATCCAGAACAAGCGCCTTCTTTTTCCTAGGCCTCAGTTTCCTATCTGCAAGATGACTGATCAGGATGTTTGTCCTGACTTTTTCATGGGATCATGTAGAGAACTAAATTAGAAAAAAAACAAAAAATGCCTTGAAAAAGTATAAAGCCATATGCAAGTTATGGTATATTTTTCCTTATATTTCTTAATTCTCCCTTCATCTTTGAACCCAGAAATAAGTTAAAAGGCAGTCATTTAAGTTAGTTACTTACACCCCTACGCAGAATAGCATTTACATGTCTTTGGGAAGAGATAAGGTCTAGGACTGGGAATATTTTAGAGTCTACTCCAGCTATTCCTTTGTCCAAGAAACATCGACAGTGTCACATGCAGCAGGAATGTAACCATGGAAAAATTAGCAGCTCTATTCTAATTAATCAGGGACCAGTTACACAGTTTTCAAGTGACTCAGAACCTTTGGTTTTCTTTTTCTTTGCTACCTTTCTTGGTATAATTTTTTTTGGCTTACCTCCCTGGTCGTTGTTATTATTATAGCATTAGTGGGAATCCACAAAGAGTAGCACTTCAGTCTAATTGGCGTGAGAGGGTGTGGGTGATCGTCTGCATCTCCTGTTTAAGAATTCAGCCCAGGGATTTAGCCTGAAAGGACAGCACAGAGAATGGAACAGGCTAGCATGCAGACAGGCACTAGGGAAATCAGACGGTGTCTCCGAGTTCCTGACTTTATTCAGATTCAGTCCCAGTGCTATCCACCGGAGTCTCTGCCTGTCTCCTTCCTCCCCAGTCCCTCTCCCATCTTCTCTGTTCGTCTCCTCCCCTGCCAGCCCATTCTGGAAAGGCCTTCTGTCTGTTGACAATCCAGGTCTTTAAAGCTGCTGACCTAAAGCTCCCTGTGGGGCTGCCCACATAACAACATCCCTTGCTCAAACCTCTCCCCTCTTTTTTCCACATGAATTGTAAATGCCATCAGAAGATGACAGATTGGGGCAACTATTAAGACTTTTTTTTCCTTCTATACCATACTTCACACAATATTTCTTCCTCCTGATTACAGAACTTGTTGGACACTAATGAACTTGTGCGTAGCGAACATGGATAGAATTCAAGGCATCTCAGTATTTTTATTTTCAATTCATTTATCTGAAGTCTTCATGTTGTTTTTATTTATTGGGGGAGAAGTTTCTGACAACTTTTAGATATTTAAAATGGTTCATAAATAACCACTGCTACTAAAAATTAAGCTTCTATTCCTCCTGGGGAAATGTTAAAATGTTAATAATCTTATGGCCTTAAAAACCCATTTCTAGATAAAAGAAGCATAAAAATATTCCTTGATGAACCTCCTGTGGAATCCTTCTTTAAATTCTTTTTTTCTGTGTATGTTTAGCCAATAACTCTGGTGTGAACAAACGGCAGATCACGGACCTTGTTGATCAGAGTATACAAATCAATGCACATTGTTTTGTGGTCACAGCAGATAATCGCTATATTCTTATCTGTGGATTCTGGGATAAGAGCTTCAGAGTTTACTCTACAGAAACAGGTAAGCTTAACTATGAAATACCTTTTTCTCTTCAAAATGCCTTTGTTAGACCCAGAGCTTAAAATAAAATCATGCTTAATAATGTACGCGTTTTCATCTTGAGTGTCAAGATTCAAATTAAATGTTCACATTGTAAGTAACTCATTATAACTCTTTCCATTCCAAACATTAGCATGAGTCCTGATTTCATAGCACAAACGGGACTACTGTCCCTTCCCCAAATCAAGTCCAGTAAAAGACTTTAAACCTCCCCTTAGTCTGGCCCAACTCCTGGAGAATGAAAATCATGATTGTGTTGTTTTCGAAGTCATGTCCTTAAAAATCCCAAGGAACATTCTTGTATCATTTTTCAGAAGAAATTCAAGAAAGCATCTGTAGCTGGATTTGAATTAGCTTATAAATTTTCACATTTACAGATTCACTTTTCACAAATCTAGTAAAATAAAGTTAAGCTTATTACCATTTAAAGAAAAATAAATGAATTAAACCTACCGTTTTTTGTGTGTTTCAGGGAAATTAACTCAGATCGTGTTTGGCCACTGGGATGTGGTCACGTGCCTGGCCAGGTCTGAGTCATACATAGGCGGGGACTGCTACATTGTGTCTGGGTCTCGAGATGCTACCCTGCTTCTCTGGTACTGGAGTGGGCGACACCATATCATAGGAGACAACCCTAACAGCAGTGAGTATTTGTGTAGAAGTGTCCCATCAGACTACAAGTTTCTTTAAATATATTTTGCTTTTTTTATTTTTCTAACAGCTTTTCCTAGGGTTATAAGGATCTTTTTTAATTTTATTTTACTTTATTTTGTTATGTTAGTCACCATACAATACATCATTAGTTTTTAAAATATGAAAGCTTTAGGTGGCAAAAATCTTTGCTAGAATGTTGTTATGGTCAGAGTATAAAAAGAGTACTGTAACCTTCAACTTGGGGAAATTTCCAGATTGACCCTGTAGTTGGCAGTCTTCCCAACCTCCAAATGTCTCCATCCTTCAGAAATTTCCTTCAGTATCTCCTCATCCATTAAACTTTGTATAATTTCTCTCAACTGAATATATTCTCTCCCTCGTCTGAAATTCTATAAGGTTTTATTTGTGCCTCAGTGAGGACACTTATTACTTCCTACCACACAGTCTAGTAAATTTCTCCGTTTATTCGTTTAACAATGATTGGGTACTCCCTTCAGACTAGGCACCCGGACAGCAAAAACTGAGTAAGACAGTTCTTTGCTTGTGATGATTCCTAAGTATTTTTATTCAACAGTACTCCCTAAGATATCCTGTAGGGAAAAAGTGGGGGGACTCCAGGGTAAAATAATTTTAGAAAACAGTGCATTTACTCTTACTAGGTAAGTAAGTTCTGAAAGTCTTACTTACACAAACAAATCTGTTGAAATTTGTTTAACCCACAATTTCTCAAATGTGTTTTTCCATGGCCTCTTTTGCTCATGGCAGAACAGTTATTATTCTTTGGAATTGTTGTTCTGAGGAAACACTAAAATGGATCACGAGTCTCTCCCTTTCCATTTTAAATCTCTGGTTCCTGGGATAGTGATACACATAATAGGGTTTTCAATATTGTTAAATGAAGGGCACCTGGGTGGCTCAGTCGTTAGGTGTCTGCCTTCAGCTCAGGTCATGGTCCCAGCCAGGGTCCTGGGATCAAGCCCCGCATCGGGCTCCCTGCTCTGCGGGGACCCTGCTTCTCCCTCTCCCACTCCCCCTGCTTGTGTTCCCTCTCTCGCTGTGTCTCTCTCTGTCTGTCAAATACATAAATAAAATCTTTAAAAAATATATATTGTTAAATGAAGAACTAGATAAGAGATTGCCTAGCAATAATCACTGTTTTTAATTACCAAGCTTTCAGTAGTTTCAATGCAAATATTTCCTATAAAATAATGGTGTCTGTACAGTGTTGATAATGACAAGTACCTAAACCAGGGCAATTCTACTTGTAATTCATACGCTGGTCACAGCTTACACGGTACCTCCAAACAAACTGAACCATGAGTCTGGGTCTTCTTTATGACAAGACAGAGATAAGAGTTTTCCAGGAATGCTGGGTATCTGCCACTGAAATGTTGTAAGAGTAGTTGCCAAAATGGGGCACCTGGGTGGCTCAGTTGGTTAAGCGACTGCCTTCGGCTCAGGTCATGATCCTGGAGTCCTGGGATCGAGTCCCGCATCGGGCTCCCTGCTCGGCGGGGAGTCTGCTTCTCCCTCTGACCCTATCCCCTCTCATGCTCTCTCTATCTCATTGTCTCTCTCAAATAAACAAATAAAATTAAAAAAAAAAATCTTAAAAAAAAAAAAGAGTAGTTGCCAAATGGATGAGATGCTGTGTTTCAGCTGCATAGCGGGAGGCTGCCACCCCTGGTCTGTTCATTCCAGCCTATGAGAAAGCTGAGGATCGAAGCCCAGTTGTACGTCTGTCCACCCTTCAAGTCCCACCCACCCCCGCTCTTAAGCATTTTGACAAGAATATTGCAAAAAGAGGAAATGGCTTTTGATTGATAGGAGCGAAGGCCCTATCATAGTAGAGAAGAAAATGAAATATATATAAAATGAAATATATATGAATGAAGGTAGTGGGGGATGAACCAGATGCAACCAAATATTATGTGAGGTTTCATTCTTGCTGCTGGAGCTGAAGACCAACAGATAAAGAAACTAGAAGTATATCATGGAGTAACGTCTCTTAGCATAGACACTGAGTGAGAGAAAGTAGTGCATTATGCATATCAGCCTCTGCTCTAAGTTGTGAACCAAGTTGTGAACAAACAAACTGGTTTGAGGAAAAAAATATTCGGTGTTGCTTGATTTCCAGCCAGCTCAAACAATTAGCTACCAATTCTACATTATAACAGATATCATACTCTAACTACTAAAAAGTTAATCTCCTTATTTATTCTTTTCTAAAACCATACCATTAAAAAAACCAGAAACTTCATTTTTAGCAGAATTCGTGTGTGTGTGTGTGTGTGTGTGTGTACATGTGTATAAGACACTTGATCTACCATGGATGGCTTTCTCATTCTCAAGCATGGCACATTATCACATATATTTTATCTAAATTTATTTTTGCATATTTACAAATCTTCATTTTCATAGTAGTGTAGTATTCATTAGAAAAGTCAAATTAAGCAGCAGGTCTGTGTAGTATCTTCCATCTATATTGATAAAAATTAAAAGATTTTAGATAACAAATTTTTTTTTAAGAAACAGAAGAGTGCTTGAAATCTCATTAACTAACATCTTCAAACTGGAGCTCAGAAATGATGAAAATGGTAGTTCCCAAAAGAGGATTCATTTCTTAAAAGCTACCACCTGGTAGCTGAGATAAGATATTTTATATATCATACTGCTATGAGGTAAAGAATTTTTTTACATGTTAAGTCATAGTAATTGTCTGTGTTAGCTACTTAATTTTAATGTGATTTTCTGATCTTTTAAATGAAAAGATGGTTAACGAAAGTTGCTTTAGTCCATCAGTTATCAAGAAAAATTAAATGTAGTAATACTTAGACTGGTTAAAGTTCCCTACAACAGGAGCTATATAAATAAAAATGTTTATATTGACCCTTAAGAACAAAATTGTGAATATTGTATTTGTTAATTGCAGCATTTTATTTAGGCTTTCAACAAAGACAAGATTATCCTTAAGAAATTAAGAATGTTATTATACATATCTTTTACTGTTGCCTCCATTAATAAGAATTTATTTTTGGTCAAAACTATTGTCATCATTATGACCCTAAATGACTTTATAAAACCCACCCTGCCAAGACTTCTTGAACATTTAATATGGACGTATGTCATATGGCTTTATTTCATCCATCATCCTTAATATAAGGGGGGAAAAATGCTCTTCTAGAATAAACAGGATGATCACCTAAAGTGTTAGGCAAGCAACAAGCATGTATTGAAGGCCTACTGGGTGCTGGTCCTATCTTAGCCTCTGGGAAAGCTGGATAGTCAAAGTCTCTGGCCTTCTGGAGTTTCCAAAACCCCATATTATACTAATCACCAAACTGCTTTTTCTGCTTGAATGTACTGAACACATTGAGTATTTATTAATGAATCATAAATTGCTATCAGATAATATTTGGTATCATACTACAAAATGTTTAGTCTTACATCTTGGGTACAAAATAATAATTACGTTAAAAATTGGTGTCAGCTTTTTACCGTATGGATAATTATAGTAGTAAAAAATTAATAATTAGTCATCTCTAGTACTTGATAGAGTGATTTATGGCTCAGAGTCTGTTAAAATAGCCAACCTGGTAGCACAGGTATGCATGACTAGAGAGACCACATATACTGGTAAATGCGCTTTTTTTTTGTAAAGGCAGTCACAGCCCACACTGAATTGCCTGTCACATCAGGGATCAGCCATGGGTGTTGACACAGACATAGTCCTTGCCATCAGAAAACTCACAACATGAAAGAAAAAGATTTTTTTTTTTCTGTCCCAGTTTAATCTATTCTAGCTACCAATTCACAGGTCAGAGAATCAGGCTGTGTGTTTTCTATCTTATAATGCGTTGCTACTCAAGACCAAAAAGCTGGTTATGTCTAAATTCATATTAAAGTGTGCGACACAATGCCCTTAGGTTTTGAGGGTTGTATATATTAACCTAGACTTGAAGGGGGAAGTCCTAGTGTGGAACATAACATGCCAGTAGCCATTAGAATTCAGGGGTTTGGTCTTGGTGTGGACATTGAATTGCTTTGTATGTCAGAGGCTGAATCTTATTTATTCAGTGCAACATAAAATGATAGGATTCACTTGATCACTTTCTCAAGATTAATTCAAGTGGCTAATATATTTATGTCCCTTCTGCATTGTCATTATTCTTTTTTAATGGAGAGCTCTATTAGTACCGCAGAGAAAATACAACTAATGCTTGTAGATTTTTTTAGGTAGGTGCAGAAAGAGTTTATGGTTTCATTGAGTCAAATATATTATTGTGAATAATTCAGACATCTCAGAAATAGTCTTTTCCTAGTTATTTTTATACTTTTATTGGATTCGCCACAAAGACGATGAACATCTATAAGCAGATTATGATCAAGAGTTTCAGACCATAAAAGAAATAAGCAGGTGCTATCAAGCACAGGTTGCAGTTGAATTACAGCTGTTTTATGAATATATTTTCTAATACTAATATCCAGTGTTACTCTTTCAAACTTGGGACTTTGAACATAGAAAATTTTCTTGGAGATTTAAATAGGCCCCTGACTAGATAACAGAATCGCAGAGATGTGAGGGACAGATGCTTTCATCTGAAACACTCTTTTGCACAAATTCTGAAACTAATTTGGAAGTGATAAAAATTAATTTGCGCACTCTAATTGGAATCAGCCTACTGCATGAAAGAAAGGAGAGCAGAGCAGGCAATTTGTGCTAAAAGCTGATTGAATTTTTTTGTCAGGTAGGTATCTTGGACTTGGCCGTTTATCCTCCTGAGCCCCTCTTCGCAATATATCACAACCCATCTCTGACTGGTGTTCTTTAAAAGGATCAATGCTATTCCTGTTGAATCCCTGGAGCCCAAAATTTCATTGATCTTGGGACTTGACATTTCTCATTACGTGCTGTAGCTTCCAACAGGATAGTCACAAGAGGGGCAAGTCAACATTGTTGTCTCTTCAGCAGACACTTAAAATACACTG